TGGAGGAGGGAAGGAGTGAAGACCGAAGACAGCATAGAAGGAAGAGGGAGGGGAGTGGGAAGAGGGGCTGGGCTGCTGGAGGGAGAGCACTGGCGGCCTGCGGGGCAGGGTGAGGTGCGCATCGCGCCGGCGGGAGGCGGCGGGGAGGCGGGGCCTGGTCAGGTGGCCGGCACAGCAGTGGCGCCGTGGCCCCCGAGGCGGCAGTGGCAGCAGGGGGCGCAGTTGGTGGAGCATGCGGGGTGAGGCGCTACGGTGGTGGCCGTGTGCCTGAGGGCGCAGTGGGTTTACCCCACCCATCCCCACATCCCCCTGCCCATCCCCCATCCTCCTGCCCATCCCCCCATTTCCCCATCCCCCCGCCCATCCCCCTATCCTCCTGCCCATCCCCCTATTTCCCCAATCCCCACGCCCATCCCCCCATCCTCCTGCCCACCCCCATCCCCTATCCTCCTGCCCATCCCCCCATTTACCCATCCCCCCGCCCATCCCCCATCCTCCTGCCCATCCCCCCATTTCCCCATCCCCCCGCCCATCCCCCTATCCTCCTGCCCATCCCCCTATTTCCCCAATCCCCACGCCCATCCCCCCATCCTCCTGCCCACCCCCATCCCCTATCCTCCTGCCCACCCCCCCATTTACCCATCCCCCCGCCCATCCCCCATCCTCCTGCCCTTCCCCCCATTTCCCCATCCCCCCGCCCATTCCCCTATCCTCCCACCCATCCCCCCATCCCCCTATCCTCCCGCCCATCCCCCATTTCCCCATCCCCCACCCATCCCCCTATCCTCCTGCCCATCCCCATCCCCTATCCTCCTGCCCATCCCCCCATCCTTCTGCCCATCCCCCAATTTCCCCATCCCCCCGCCCATCCCCCTATTCTCCTGCCCATTCCCCCATTTTCCCATCCCCCCGCCCATCCCCCCTCCCCCGCCCATCCCCCCATCCCCTCATCCCCGCATACCCCCCCATCCCCACATCCCCCCGTCCCCCTATTCTCCCGCCCATCCCCCCATCCGCCTATCCTCCTGCCCATTCCCCCATTCCCCCATCCCTGCTCATCCCCCCATCCCCTCATCCCCCCGCCCATCCCCCATCCCCTTTATCCTACCGCCCATCCCCCCATCCCCCTATCCTCCTGCCCATCCCCCATCCCCCTATCCTCCTGCCCATCCCCCATCCCCCTATCCTCCTGCCCATTCCCCCATTTCCCCATCCCCCCGCCCATCCCCCCACCCCTCCCCATCTCCCATCCCCTCATCCCCTCATCTCCCCGCCCACTCCCCCATCCCCACATCCCCCCATCCCCCTATCCTCCCGCCCATCCCCCATTCTTCATCCCCTGCCCATCCCCCCATCCCCTCGCCCGTCCCCTACCCCCCATTCCCTCCATCCCCCATCCCACAATCCCCCCGCCAATCCCCCCACCCCCACATCCCCCCATTTCCCCATCCCCCCCATCTCTCCATCCCCCCGCCTATCACCCCTGCCTGCGGCAGCGGGAGAGGTAAAGGGGGGCCATGGAGATGTTGGGGGGTGGGAGGGAAGCGCGCTGGAAGCCTTGCAGGAATATTCCTGCAACAGGTGCCTAGTCTATTATTTTTTTTGTCTTTCATTCACTGATAAACTCCACGGGCTGGCCTGGGGTGAGGGTGAGGCCGCTCCCTGCTCTGCCTGGGAAGTGGCTTCCAGTACAGGTCTTGGCCCCTGGAGGGCGGGCAGAGAGGCACACACGGCTCCTCTCAGTGCTCTTGGGGCCTCTGTATGGGGGTGTCTGTGTATAGGGGAAGGTCTGTATAGGGATGTGTGTATATGGGGAGTCAGTATATAGATGCATGTATGTAGGAGTGTCATACGGATGCATGAATGTATGTGGGTCTGTATAGGATGTGTGTTGGGGGGGTCTGTATAGGGTATGTGTGTTGGGGGGTCTGTATAGGATGTGTGTTGGAGGGTCTGTATAGGGATGTGTGTATATGGGGAGTCAGTATATAGATGCATGTATGTAGGAGTGTCATACGGATGCATGAACGTATGTGGGTCTGTATAGGATGTGTGTTGGGGGGGTCTGTATAGGGTGTGTGTGTTGGGGGGCTGTATAGGATGTGTGTTGCAGGGTCTGTATAGGATGTGTGTGTTGGGGGGTCTGTATAGGATGTGTGTGTTGGGGGGTCTGTATGTAGGGGTGTCATACGGATGCATATATGTATGTGGGTCTATATAGGGTGTGTGTGTTGAGGGGTCTGTATAGGATGTGTGTTGGGGGGTCTGTATAGGGTGTGTGTGTTGGGGGGTCTGTATAGGATGTGTGTTGGGGGGTCTGTATAGGATGTGTGTATATGGGAGAGTTTATACAGATGCGTGTATGTGGGAGGTCTATAGGGGTGCATGTATATGGGGGGAGTCTGTACAGATGCATGGATGGGGGAGAGGCTGTATAGGATGTGTGTTGAGGGGCCTGTGCCCGTGGCGCCACGGCACTATTTGCACGAAGTAGCCAGCCACGTAGCCCAAGATGAAGATGACCCAGAAGAGGGCCAGGCCTCCCAGCATCCTCATGGTGACGCCCAGCCTGCCCGCGCACAGCTTCCGGGAGGGCCTTTCCCAGCAGGAGGCCTGTTCTGGGCTGGACACAGCCCCCAACTGATCTCCTCCCACCTGCGTGCTCCACGCTGGGTCCGGGCTCCTGGGGGAGTGATGCGGCCTGGCAGGCTCACCGGGCGCAGCCTGCGGGCGAGGGAGGTGTCAGAACCTGTGGGGGCTCAACCTGGCACAGACTGTCCAAGTGGGAGAGGCGCACAGAGCCCCTTTCTACAATTTATTAGCCAAAATCTAGCGATCATTAGCATTATTTGACACATGAATTTAAATAGAGGACTTTTCTGTGCTTTATTGTTCCTTTTCAATAAAATACATGGTCAGGATGTTGAGTCCTTGGGATGGGTCTTGGACAAATAAGACATTATAATTGTATTTACATATGACACCTAATTATAACACGATTTTACTATATCTTTGTAGAGCCTCCCTTCCCTCCACAACATTCTATAGTTGTGCTAAAAAAAAAATGGTGTTTACCTTTCCCTGAAAAGAGAGAGAGAGAGAGAGAGAGAGAGAGAGAGAGAGAGAGAGAGAGAGAGAGAGAGAAGGCTAGTGTGTTTTTTAAGTTTGTGTACTCAAAGCATTTATCCTAATTGTGAATTATTAAAATGGATGTCAAAGTAATCTTTTATGAAATGGTAGATGACGATTAGTTTTCATTTTATTAGTTTGTAAAAATCTATTCTTCTAGTCCAGTGTTTCCCAAAGTGTGGTACGCGTATCCCCAGGGGTACAGGAAGAGTTTGGTGGGGGTACGCGTTGCACATTGCTTAGCTGCGCCTAATTCTACGTTCTTATGAGGATGGGGGGTACTCAGCGTTACGAAAATTATAGAAGGGGTACACATATGTCAAAAGTTTGGGAAGCACTGCTCTAGTCGATGAGAAAGATAAGTCATGTGAGCTCTCAATTTATTTAAGAAGGAAACCTCTGTGGCATGTCACTAGCACTTGCTCCTAGGTGTTAAATATTGGGGATCCCAACCTTTGTCAGCTTGTCATAACTAAAGGCTCTTCATAGCCCAGACTGGTGGCTTAATTAGCAGAAACTTATGTTTTTAGGGTTCAGGAGCTTGGAAGCCCGGAGTCTGATGCCAACATGGCTGAGTTCTGGAGAGCCCCGTTTTGCTTATAGAAGCTGCTTCTCCTTGTGTTGTCATATGGCGAAGAGAGGACAAGCTCTCTGGTAAGGGTTGAACTTTCAAAGGAATGAAAACAGCAGCTAATTACTGTGGCTTGGATTTTTTCATTTTCCAATATGGCCGCTTCTCTTTTTCTCTTAGCTTTTTTCTTGGAACAGTTAGATCTCTGGTGTCTTAATCTCATCTAATCCAAATGCCCGCCTATGTTCATCTCCAAGGTCCATCATATTTTGGGGGAGGGGGTTGGACTTTAATATGTGAATTTTGGAAAGACACAGGTATCCTGTCTGTAACAGGGCAGTAATGGTATTAGGATGACGTTAAGCCAGGGGTCCAGGAGGATTCAAATCCTTCTTTGGTTTAATCTACCACTAAGTTTGAGGAACAACAGCAAAGCACGGCAGATTACATGGTGACTAACGGAAGCTTTGTAGTCTAGAGCCCCAGTGCAAAACTCTGGTAAGATAAGCAGTTATCAAAGGAGAACTCATTTACTAAGTGTTTTTGCTTGAATGACCTGCAACAGAAGCAGCTTTTACATTTCACATGGTTGAAAATTTAAAAGAATATTTTGTGAGATTTGAAAATTACATGAAATTCAAATTTCATATAATGTGTTATTAGAATAAATCATATAGTTTTATTAGAATACAGCCATGCTCATTTAGTTATGCATTGTCAATGGATGTTTTCATGCTGCAAGAGCCTAAAATATTTACTCTCTGGCCCTTTAGAGAAAAAGTTTCCCTATTCCCAAGTCTAAATCTTGGCTCAAGATAGATTTCAAAAAGATGCAGAGCCATACCCATCAACACTAGAAACTAATGGATCCAGAGACAGAACATTTACTCCAAAGCATGGCGTGAGCTGGTTTTGAAACTGTCTGCTTTAAGTAGTATAATGCCAGACCCAACTGTTCCCAAAAGAGAAATCAGATGGCCTTCTGGGGGGATGGAAGAAGACAGAGCCACAGTAATTTGGTGATGTTTTCATTCCTTTGAAAATTCAGCCTTTACCAAATGGAATAGTGGGCCCTGAAATTGGACCAACATAGATGAAGATTTATCTTCTTTTGAGTATTTATCCCTTAATTTATACTTAACCACTCAAGTCAAAGGAGATGGAGATATGGGAGCTAAGAGAGTTCCCTTTCTAAACTCAACAGAAATGGATGAAAATTGGTGGCATCATTGAAATCAGGCCACTTCTTTTGCTCCTGACTTGTTTCTGTTTCCTCCTCCTCCCCTTCCCTGTCACACAGGTGATTTTAAAGGACGTGGACTCGCTCCTCTACGTGGACACAGACGTCCTCTTTCTGAGGCCCATCGAGGACATCTGGAAGCTCCTGTGGCAGTTCAACGCCACCCAGCTTGCCGCCATGGCCCCTGAGCACGAAATCCCTAAGACCGGCTGGTACAGCCGCTTTGCCCAGCACCCTTTCTATGGCTCTGCAGGAGTTAATTCAGGAGTCATGCTAATGAATTTAACTCGTATAAGAAGCACCCAGTTCAAGGTAAGGAAGTATTTTATATTTCCTTGTTTAAAATTTGGAATTTTGTCTTTTCCGGAGAGTCAGTGTGCTGATTTGGAAATAGACAGGTAGGGATGGAAGGAGCCAGAGAATGGTGTTTGGAGGGTTTGGGGGTATTTGTCTGCTCAGGAAAAGCCCAGGGGGTTATTAGATCTAAATCTTTAGCGGAGTTTCCATTCGGGACTATTGCGCTGCATTTCTGAGGCCTGTCATGTTTGGACTCTGAGCGTATCCAATGCTTCAGAAACCTTGGGGACAGTCCTTGGCATTGCCATAGGGTTATTTACCTACGTACACAGATCTTTGTGCACAGCTGTACCTGGCCTCGTTTTTTTATCCAACAAATAACAGGAATGCTCCTAATGGAACATAAATAGAAAACTAATAAAAAATTATCCTCCTGTTAAAAAGAATTAGGTAAATCTATAAGATAAATAAACAATATTAAGTGAAAAAAAATAAAATGGAACAAAGCATAATATTGTAGGGTATGATCCCTTTTATGCTTTAGAAATTTCCAGAAAAATACCTAAGAGACCATTAATTGTTAATTGTGGATACTTGTAGGGAAAGTGGAAATGGGAATTGTAGCATGATGAAGAGGACTTTTGCTATATTTTAGATCTTTGTATGCTATTTCAATATTTATTCTATGAATATGAAATATTATTTATTTATTTATTTAAATAAATATTTATTGTTTATAATATTACAAATGTTCCTCATTCCCCCCCACATTGCTCCTGACCACCAGGTTCCCACACCACCCTCTGCCCTTTCCACACCCCCCATTGTCTTCATCCATAGGTGCACAGTTTTTGTTCAGGCTCTTCCTGCACCCCTAACTCCCCTTTTCCCTGAGAATCATCAGTTCACTCCCCTTCCATACCTCTAATTCTTTAAAAAAAATTTTTTTAAATTAAATTATTATCTGTGTACATATTTTAACATTGCCCCCCCCTGCCATACATACCCTCCCTCCCCAGAGTTTTGTGTCCATTGGTTGTACTTATATGCATGAATACAAGTCCTTCGGTTGATCTCTTATCTCCCCCAGATCTCCCTATCCTCCCCGCTGTAATTTGACAGTCTGCTTGTTGCTTTACTGTCTTTATATCTGTATTTTGGTTCATCAGTTTATAATGTTCATTAATATCCATAAATGAGTGAGGTCATCTGGTATTTCTCTTTCATTGACTGGCTTATTTCACTCAGCATGATGTTCTCCAATTCCATCCAGGTTGCTGCAAATGATGAGAATTCCTTCTTTTTTATGGCAGCATAGTATTCCATTGTGTAGATATACCATGATTTTTTTATCCAATCATCTGCTGTTGGGCACCTAGGCTGTTTCCAAATTGTAGCTATTGTAGATTGTGCTGCTATGAACATAGGGGTGCATATATCCTTTCTGATTGGTGTTTTTAGTTTCTTGGGTTATATTCCTAGAAGTGGGATTACTGGGTCAAATGGGAGTTCCATTTTCAGTTTTTTGAGGAAACTCCATACTGTCCTCCACAGTGGTTGCACCAGTCTGCATTCCCACCAGCAGTGCACGAGGGTTCCTTTTTCTCCGCAACCTCGCCAACACTTGTCGTTTGTTGATTTGTTGATGTTGGCCATTCTGACAGGTGTGAGATGGTACTGCATTGTTGTTTTGATTTGCATCTCCCAGATAATTAGTGATATTGAGCATGTTTTCATGTGCCTCTTGGTCTTCCTTCTGTCTTCTTTTGAAAATATTCTATTTAGGTCCATTGCCCATTTTTTATTTTGGATCATTCATCTTCCTTTTATTTAGTTGTATAAGCTGTCTATAGATGTTGGAGATTAAACCTTTATCAGTGATAATATTTGCAAATATGTTCTCCCACACAGTGGGCTTTCTTGTTGTTTTGTTGATGGTTTCTTTTGCTGTAAAAAAGCTTTTTATTTTGATGTAGTCCCATGTGTTTATTTTCTCTTTAGCTTCCATTGCCCTAGGTGCAGTATCAGTGAAGAAGTTCTTTTGGCATATGTCTGAGATTTTGCTGCCTGTGGATGCTTCTAGTATTTTTATGGTTTCTTGTCTTATGTTTAAGTCCTGTATCCATTTTGAGTTTATTTTTATATATGGTGTAAGTTGGTGATCTAGTTTCATTCTTTTGCATGTATCTGTCCAATTTTCCCAACACCATTTATTGAAGAGACTGTCTTGACTCCACTGTATATTTGTTCCTCCTTTGTCAAATATTAATTGAGCATATTGATTTGGGAGGATATCTGGGTTCTCCATTCTATTCCATTGATCTATATGTCTGTTCTTGTGCCAGTACCAGGCTGTTTTGAGAACAGTGGCTTTGTAATACAGTTTGAGGTATGGTATTGAGATCCCTCCTACTTTACTCTTTTTTCTCAGGATTGCTGTGGCTATTCGGGGTCTTTTATTGTTCCAAATGAACTTTTGGAGAGTTCTTTCTAGGTCAGTGAAGTATACTGTTGGTATTTTAATGGGGAGTGCATTGAACCTATAGATTGCTTTAGGAAGTATGGACATTTTGATGATGTTGATTCTACCAATCCATGAACATGGTATGTTCTTCCATCTGTTTACATCTGCCTCTATCTCTTTTTTTTCAGTGTTATGTAGTTTTCTGCATATAGGTCCTTTACCTCCTTAGTTAAGTTTATTCCTAGGTATCTTAATTTTTTTGGTGCGATGGTAAATGGAATTGCTTTTTTAGTCTCTGTTTCTATAAGTTCATTGTTGGTGTATAGAAATGCCATAGATTTCTTGGCGTTAATTTTGTATCCTGCTAAATTGCCAAATACATTTATTAAGACAATTAGTTTTTTAATGGATCTTTTGTTTTTTTTATGTACAATATCATGTAATCTGCAAATAAGGACAGCTTAGCTTCTTCTTTTCCAATTTGGATGCCTTTTATTTCCTCTTCTTGTCTAATTGCAATGACTAGTACTTCCAGTACTATGTGAAACAGGAGTGGAGAGAGTGGGTATCCCTGTCTTGTTCCTGTTCTTAGAGGCAATGGTTTTAGTTTTTGCCCATTGAGTATGATGTTGGCTGTGGGTTTATCATATATAGCTTTTATTATGTTGAGGTATGATCCTTGTACTCCCACCTTGTTGAGAGTTTTTATCAGGAAAGGGGGTTAGATTTTATCAAATGCTTTTTCTGCATCAATTGATATGACTATACGATTTTTATCTTTCAATTTATTTATCTGATGTATCACCTTTATTGATTTGCGGATATTGTACCATCTTTGCATTCCTGGAATAAATCCTACTTGGTTTGTGATGCTCTGCTGGAGCCGATTTGCTAGAATTTTGTTGAGGATTTTGGCATCTATAATATGTTCATGAGGGATATTGGCCTGTAATTCTCTTTCATTGAGTTTTTAAAAAATATATATATTTTATTGGTTTTTCACATAGAGGAAGAGAGAGGGATAGAGAGTTAGAAACATCGATGAGAGAGAATCATCAATCAGCTGCTTCTTGCACACAGCCTACTGGGGATGTTCCCACAACCAAGGAACATGCCCTTGCCCTGAATCAAACCCGGGACCTTTCAGTCTGCAGGCCGACACTCTATCTGCTGAGCCAAAATGGTCTCGGCTCATTGAGTTGTCTTTATAAGGTTTTGGTATTAGGGTAATGCTGGCTTCATAGAAGGAGTTTGGAAGTGTTCCTTCCTCTTGAATTTTTTGGAACTGTCTGAGGAGGATAGGTTTTAGTTCTTCCTTGAATGTTTGGTAAAACTCTCCTGTGAAGCTATCTGGCCCTGGGCTTTTGTTTGCTGGAAGCTTTTTGATGACTGTTTCAATTTCTTCCCAAGTAACTTTTCTATTGAGATTTTTAGGTTCTTCCTGATTGAGTTTTGGAAGGTTGTATTTTTCTAGGAATATGTCCATTTCCTCCAGGTTGTTCAGTTTGTTGGAATAGAGCTGTTCGTAGTATTTTGTAACAATTCTTTGTATTTCGGCAAGGTCTGTTGTTATTTCACCTCTTTTGTTTCCGATTTTGTTAATTTGAGTCCTCTCTCTTTGTTTCTTGGTTAGCCTGGCTAGAGGTTCATCTATCTTGTTTATCCTTTCAAAGAACCAGCTCTTGGTTTTGTTGATCTTATGTATTGTTTCTTTGGTCTCTATGTCATTTATCTTTCCTCTGATTTTTATTATTTCCTTCCTTCTACTTACACTGGGATTTTCTTGTTGCTCTTTTTCTAACTCTTTGAGTTGTAGCATTAGATAATTTGTTACTATTTTTTCTTGTTTTTTGCAATAGGCTTGTAGGGATATGAACTTCCCTCTCAAAACAGCTTTTGCAGTGTCCCATAGATTTTGGATTGTTGTGTTTTCATTGTCATTTGTTTCAAGGATGTTTTTAATTTCTTCCTTGATTTCTCTGGTAATCCAGTCCTTGTTTTATAGCATGCTGTTTAGTCTCCATGTGTTTGATTTCTTTGGATTATTTTTATTGTAGTTAATTTCCAGTTTTATGCCACTATGATCTGAGAAGATGCTTAATATGATTTCTATCTTTTAAAAAAATATATTTTATTGATTTTTGTACAGAGAGGAAGGGAGAGGGATAGAGAGTTAGAAACATCAATGAGAGAGAGTCATTGATCAGCTGCCTCTTGCACACCCCTTACTGGGGATATGCCCGCAACCAAGGTACATGCCCTTGACCGGAATCGAACCCGGGACCCTTCAGTCCCCAGGCCGACGCTCTATCCATTGAACCAAACCGGTCCCAGCGATTTCTATCTTTTTGAACTTGAAGAGACTTTGCCTATGTCCCAAAATGTGGTCTATCTTTGAGAATGTCCCATGTGCACTTGAGAAGAATGTTTATTCTGTGGCTTTGGGGTGGAATGTTAATTCCATCTGGTCTAGTGAGTCATTTAGGATTGATATTTCTTTGCTGATTTTTTGTTTAGATGATTTGTCGAAGGGTGACAGTGGGGTATTAAA